ATAGTCGCTTCTGACTTTTCTTCGGTTTTTGCACTTCTTGACCTCCAATTATCCCAAAATTCGACCTCAACCCTTCCACACGTGCTAGGACCTGAAATGTATCAAAACAAGCACACCCCAGCCTAGCGTGAAATATGTCGAGAAACGATGAAATACTATGCTAAACGGATAAGAAATGAGGGGTAAAATGTGTACATTTGGGCCCGAATCACTATGATCTATAAGTAATTAAATATATGATTTATAATGTTAAATAACATGGATTTAAGATAATTCAAGTGACAATATATTGAAAATAAGATAACTTATTATAGGTTTTTAAATCTAATATAGTCAAATAGTCATTCCATATAACAACATAATATAGTTAATTAGTCATGCCCTCCATATAAAATCTAAAGATTCATATTTTAAAGGTTACAATTTTGAAAAAATCAAAAAGTTGAAAACAATAAATTTGTTTTCTTCTTCTTTTGAGAAAAAAGAAAGAAAATACTAAAATTCCCCTCCTTTCTCCTTCCATAAATTAGAAACAATCAATTTTACCTCCTTTTTCTCTTCCATAAAATTAAAATAACTAAATTTCTCTCTTTCTTCCTTCTTCAAAAAGTTGAAAACTCAAAATTTCTCTCCTTATTTCTCTTTTCATAATCAGAAGAACCAAACTTTCTCACTTTTTTCTCTTCCCACAAATCAAAACCACCAAACATCCCTCTTGTTTCTTTTCTAAAGAATACAAAGCACCAAATTTTCCTCTTCTTTCTTTCCAAAAAAAGTTGAAAACACCTAAATTTCACTTTACTTTTAAAATCATCAAATTACTGAATAAATTACTTTACTCTATTTATATTTAATTGATAACTTTTTTGAATAGTTAAATTAACCAAAATTTTAATTTATATATTATATTAATATTGTCCATGATATCAATTATTATCTTCAATATCAATATTGACATTATACTCATTTTATATTTCATATTTAATTTTGTTAAAGAACTTAGTGTTCAAGCGATCTTAATGTTTCAATTTTTGTAATCTTATTAAAATACATAATATCAAGTGAGTTTCTTGTTTTTAAATTCCCTATACGAATTTAAAAAATATATTTATCTAACTTTAGAATGAAACTTCATTTTGAAAAACTATTTATTATATAATATAATAATTATTTAAGTGGATTGCGTGGAGTTCGGGTTGGTCGGTCGAGTCACGGGTAGTCGGGTTCGGGTTAATCGAGTTGCGGGTTATTAGAGATACAACATAAAAAGGAATTTATTCCTTTTATTGTTTTACCCCACTACATTCAGTTGCTACTTCTGTGAAACGTGGCCTGTATTGTTGGCTACAAAGCCTCCCTGTACTTGTATAATTAATTGTCGAGATCATTAATCAAATCAAGTTAGATTCCACAACAATATTGTTTGAAAATACTTCCTTCATGGTATCAGAGCAGGGAACGGTCACCTAGCCTGTGCCTATCTCGTCCAGTCTTCTCCCTTTTGCTGTCACTGATATTTTATTTCTCTGTTTTTTTTCTTTCCTCTTCTTTCTCTTCGGCTGCTCTATTGTGTTCATCATGTTAGGATCAACAACAGCTATTCCCTCGGCACCCTCAGAAGACACCATCATTACATTCAACCCAACTGCTCAACTTCTCCTCAAATTGACAGCTACCAACTTCGATTCCTGGCGCTCTCAGCTCGAGATCCTTCTCATGGGTCTAGACCTCATCAGCTAAATCGATGGCACCGGCGTTGCACTTGTAAAAACAGTCACCGCAGATGATAAATCGGACCCAATCCCGCCTATCATCATTGGTATCGTCAAGATAAGTTAATTCCTCATACGCTTTGCTGCTCCATATATGAATCGCTATATTCCTATGTCTCTGCCGCCGCAACATCCCACGAGGCCTGGCTGATTCTCGAGAAGCTTTATGCTAGTCGGTCTCAGTCCCGTATTATCAATTTGAAGGGGAAACTCGCTCGTGCTATCAAGGGCAATCATGATATTCTTACAGATGTGAATGATTTGAAGCTTATTGTCGCCGAGCTTGCTCTTATCGATGAACCTGTTTCCGATTTGGATTTGGTGGTTCATTGTCTTCGGGGACTTGGTCCTGACTACAATCACTTCTCCGCTGCCGTGCGCGCCCGCGGCGGGACTATCACCATTGAAGAGCTCTTGGATTCCCTCATCGAGTTTGAGGGTGATTTGAAGGAACAAGCCCGACTGAGTACTATTCCCACTGCCTTTGTCACGCACGGCCATTCTCCTCGTCGCAGCAGCGAAGCAGGAGCAAGGGGCCATTTCAGTGGCGGGCCTCATCCCCATTTCAGCCGCGGGCCTCATTCCACTCGGATGCAGGGAGCCCACAATTCCCGTCCGCAAATAGGGTTTGGCCCTGAGTCCTTGGGCCGCAATGCTCCCCTTCACCCGACCCAACGTCCCCATCTGAGCCCACTCGTCCAAGAAGGCAGCTTGTCATATGTTAGTATTGTGAAAAGCCCGGTCATTCAGTCCGACAATGTTTCAAGCTATTTCCTCAGGCCCGACAGACTTTCTCTCAGGCCCCTCTAGCTCAAGCCCATCATACTACTGCTCATCCTCCTTAGTCATCATTGACTGGGCCTTGGCTTATGGACTCTGCATCTTCTCATTATGTGACCTCAGATTTGGGCCAACTCTCTCTATACTCTGATTATATGGGTCCTGATGAAGTTGTTGTTGGAGATGACTCAGGTTTGGCGATCTCTTATATTGGCTCCTCTACCGTTAATCTTGGCTCTAGTTTCTTTCACTTAAAAGATATTTTATGTGTTCCTAATATCAAGCGACATCTCATCTCACTCGCTAAATTATGCCAAACTAACCCAGTGTCGGTGGAATTTTTTGTCACTCATTTCTTGTGAAGGATCTTCACACGGGGGCGCAGTTGCTGAGGGGGGAAAACAACGGTGATGTCTATGAATTGCCGCGCGAGGTGGAAAATGTTCGCATGGCCATGGTTACCACTAGGACATCTACGACATCGTGGCACGCTCGTCTTGGTCATCCTTCTATTCAATCCCTTACCAGTCTTATTCGGTCTTTTTCCTTCTGGTTTCCTCACCGGTCACTAGTTCTTCCCGTGATGCATGTCTTTTGAATAAAAGTCACAAACTGCCTTTTTCCATCTTGTCTTTGTCTAGTGAATGCCCTTTTGATCTTCTGTATACAGATCTTTGGGGATATGCCCCTGTTTCTTCTATTGATGGGTATCGTTACTATTTGATTATCATTGATCACTTTACTCGATATGCTTGGTATTATCCTTTATGTCGTAAATCCGATGTGCTCCAAGTTTTTCTTGATTTCAGGAAAATGGTTGATAATTATTTTTCCACTACGATTCGTCATCTCTCTACTAACGGTGGTGGTGAATTTCAAAAACTTCGCACTGATCTTCTTAACCATGGTATAACCCATCTTCTCACTCCTCCTCATACACCCGAACATAATGGGCTTGCTGAAAGAAAACATCGTCATTTGGTCGAACCTGGTATAACTCTTCTTCATCATGCTAAACTTCCCACTTCTTTTTGGTCCTTTGCCTTCTCCACCGCCATTTATCTTATCAATCGTCTTCCCTCATCTGCCATACGTGGTAAAGTTCATTACTTTCTTGGTATTGAAGTCATACCCACTGCTACTGGCTATCTTCTCTCTCAACATCAGTACATGATTGATATTCTCAACTGGTTCCAGCCGACCGATCTCAAGCCCGCAGATACGCCGCTTGCTGCTTCTGCGACTCTCACACTTCATGATGGCTCTCCTGCTACGGATTCCACTCGTTTTCGTCAAGTAATCGAGGCTCTTCAATACCTGGTTTACACTCGTCCCGACATTGCTTACTCTGTCAACAAACTCTCACGGTTTATGCATACTCCATCAGCTCATCATTGGCAGTGCCTCAAGCGTCTTCATCGTTATGTTTCTGGTACTCTTTCCCATGGTCTCTTCATCTGCCGCACTCGAGGTGCTCTATCTCTCTCTGCCTTTGCCGACTCTGACTGGGCCAGGGATTTGGATGATCGTTCGTCTACCTCCGGCTATCTTGTTTATCTAGGCTCTTTCCTCGTCTCATGGAGGTCTCAAAAGCAACGTACTATTGCTCGATCCAGCACCGAGGCTGAATATCGCGCTATCGCACATGCTACTGCGGAGTTGGAGTGTATTCAAAATCTACTACTTGAGCTGCATCATCCCTTACCATCCTCTCCAACTCTCTATTCAGACAACTTGGGTGCCACCTATTTCAGCTCCATCCAGTGTTCCACTCCCGAATGAAGCATCTCGCATTAGACTATCATTTCGTGCGTCAATTAGTCCAGGCTGGTCGTCTCCACGTCTCCTAAATCCCGACTGCACACCAGCTCGCAGATACCCTCACCAAGCCGCTTCCAACCATGCGGTTTCTGCTTCTTCGATCCAAGCTCGGTGTTGTTGATACGAACACTGTCTTGCGGGGGCATATTAGAGATACAACATAAAAAGGAATTTATTCCTTTTATTGTTTTACCCCACTACATTCAGTTGCTACTTCTGTGGAACGTGGCCTGTATTGTTGGCTACAAAGCCTCCCTGTAATTAGTTGTCGAGATCATCAATCAAATCAAGTTAGATTCCACAACAATATTGTTTGCAAATACTTCCTTCACGGGTTCAATCGGGTTGCGGGTCAATCGAATTCGAGTTAATAGGGTTGTGGGTCAGTCGGGTTGCGAATCGGGTGAGTTATAAGTTGTTGACTTTTAATCAATTCGAATTGCGGACGGATTGTGGATCAACTTAATCGGACGGATTAGTCAGATCAATTTTTGTTTTGACACCTAAACTCGAACCCACTTCTGGTTCTGGTCAGTGACGAGACAACGTAAGGCCTAAACTTTCGATTATTTCCTTATCCCAAAATGTTGGAAGCTTAGCTTGGTTTTGCTGCGAAGGAAAAGAAAAATAATTTTTTTAATGGGCAGAAAAAATAAATACTATGGAAAATTTCCGTAATTAATAAAATAAAATAAAAAGGCAAAATAAAAAGGAAAAACATTCAGCTTCTACTGCTTTTCAATTTTTCAACTCCGACGACGACCACGGAAGGTCGCAAAATTTTCAACTCTCTCGTCTTCCCTTCCGGACCAAAAAATATTGCCGGCACCACATCCGTTGACGCCGGGGAAGGGGAAGACCTTCAAAACCCCTTAATTCGACCTTATTTCATTCGGTTCCCCATTGGTCCGACAAATGAGCAGTCAGGCCATCCCTCCGCCTCCACGGCGGAACAGCTTGGGCCAGAAACGAGGTCCGTCGGCCCCCTCCAGGAAATCCTCCGTCGCCGTCTCCGAAAACGGCAGCGCAAATGGAACCTCCTCCAAGCCCAACTCTCCTTCGTAAGTTCCGGCACCTGCTGGATATCTCCAATTCGGGAAATTGAGAATTTGCTCAGGCTTTTCCATTTCTCGGTCTAATTTTGTTTCTTCTTCCTATGGAGGTCTGCTGGCGGGGAGAGGACTGTGAAGAAATTGAGGCTCTCAAAAGCTCTTACCATACCGGAAGGCACCACCGTCTCCGATGCCTGTCGAAGGATGGCGTCCCGCCGCGTCACCGCCGTTTTGTTAACAGATGCGAATGCTTTGCTTTCAGGAATCGTCACTGACAAGGTTTCGTCAGCGAATCTTTTCCTTGCTCGTTTCCCCTTTTGTTGTGTAGCTTTCATTTCATTGTATGTTCATTTCGTTTTTTATAGGATATCGCTGCTAGAGTAATAGCTGAGGGATTGAGACCTGACCAGACGATTGTGTCCAAGATTATGACCAGGAACCCGATTTTCGTTGCATCCGATGCATTAGCCATTGAAGCACTTCAGAAGATGGTTCAGGGTTAGTCTTGTCCCTACTTAATAATTGGATTATGATTTACTGAACTTATATAAGTAACACTCTGTGTTGATCTTTCTTTCTGTTGCATAATGACTTTCCAAAGTTCAATTCTTTTCGACAATTATGTTGATGGCTAACTCGACACTAGCTTCTGTCTTATGAGTTATGAGCAGGCAAGTTCAGGCACCTTCCTGTTGTCGAGAATGGTGAAGTTATTGCTTTACTAGATATTACAAGATGTCTGTATGATGCTATATCTAGAATGGAAAAAGCAGCTGAGCAGCGAACTGCAATTGCTGCTGCTGTTGAAGGGGTGGAACGTCAGTGGGGAAACAATGCTCCTGGTTGGTAATCTACTTGTTGGTTTTGTTAATCTTGTTCTTACAACTCCAAATTTCTGTACTTTTAGTTCATCGACTATAGTTTATGATTCTTCCTGCCTGTAGTTGGTCTGTTGAGCATAATGCTTGCACTTCCTCCCCTCGGTTCTTTTTCCAGTTGGTGACTATGTTAATGGTGGCTCTTTATATATGCCTATATGGTACTTAGCCATTGTATGTGGCATTAGTTTGGAGTTTTGGCTTGTGTTTGATGTGCAATGGTACTGTGGTTGAGAGGTTATGGTGTTATTGGAATGCAAATAGGCTAGAAGAACCGGAGCTTCATGTTCCAAATTTTGGCACTCAAGCTATAGAACTCTGAACCTTTTGTTACAAATCAAGGCTTTTTAGTTCCATCTTTGTCTAATACGTACTCTGAGCGTCTCATTTAAGGGGTTTTCTGTGTTTGTTTGTTTCAAGTCAAACTGTGTTGCTTAGTTGGACTGTTTGATCATGGAAGCATTAAACCTTATCTTGTATGATCAATAGAATGGCTGCTCCACGAGCATCAGAGGTACCTATTGGGATAACTGTTCCTTTCCCTGAAGTTTTTTTCTGCTTTCTTTCGCCAAGGAGTGTCTAATGCGTATAGCATAAGCAATAATACTATCTTCTCTCAGAAAGCAGGCAATCTTGTTATATATCTTATTTGGCTGACAATTTTGCTAGATACAATGCTTTTTTTCTACCTTATTTGAAATGTATATCTTACTTTATACCATATCTACTGTGCTGAAGCCAACAACATCTTACCTCTTCAGTCCTCCAATAAGTTGGGTTGGGGTGTCCAATCTCTTCTGTCCCTTTTGTTGAGTTGACACCAAACTCTTTGACAATGCCATCTGTTACCACATAGAAAGAGTGGTCGCACAGGATTTTGTTTGTTTGTGTGCTGTTCTTAGTGTGGTAATTAACTATCAATCTAATCATCATCAAAGCTAAGCACGAGAAAGCACTTCTGCTGGTTCCTGCTTTTGTTGCAGGCTTTGATTTTTTTTTTATTTTTTTTATCTTGGTTGTATTCTTGTTTCTAGACAGTGTCCCTTTGATTTCTTGGTAATACAAGTATCTCTTGATGAAGAACAAAATGGCGCTAAGCACGAGTGGTATCATGAGTTTGTAGTCAATGATGCTTCTTTTTTAAGGAAGGAAGCATTGTTTCTTGTTTTTCTATCTGATAGTTTGTTTAATTTTGTATTTGTTTTAAACCATGCTTTTGCTTCAGCTCCAACATTCATAGAGACTCTGAAGGAAAAGATGTTCAAGCCTTCCTTATCAACAATTATTGGTGACCAGAAGTAATATTTATTACGAACTTGTTCTTATGCTTATTTTATGTGGAATTTTCCTATATGTAAATAGATTTGGATTTCCAATTTTGAATTTTTCAACATTTTCAGGGTTGCAATTGCAGCACCATCAGATCCTGTCTATGTTGCTGCTAAAAAGATGAGAGATTTAAAGGTCAATTCGGCTATTGTTTCGACTGGGAATAAAATTCTTGGGATACTAACGTAATACTTACCCTGTTTACACTTTTTCTTTTATAAAATCTATGCTACTAAGTTTTTTCAGATACAGGATGTGCTGATTGGGTATTTACGCTGGTATATTGCTTGCTTCTGCTTTTTGTGTCACAGCTCAAAGGATATTCTCATGCGGGTAGTTGCACAGAATCTTTCCCCTGAGCTAACTTTGGCTGAAAAGGTAAATTTTGATCATTTTAGTGACGAGATGGTTGGTTATATATTTGCAATTCGTAGCACCTTTCTTTATGTCGACTGGATATCAGTGTCTAATAGATCGTAACGGTTACTGGTCATTACCACTCACTTCGGTAGAACAATTCGTGAGAGTATAATCACTCCATGGTTATTTCTCTGAAAGATTTACTTCCTCTTCATATCTGTCTGAAGGCCTTACTCCATGAAAGTAAATTGTCACAATTGCTTCACATGGTTAGAAACAATTATGTTCTCTGTCATACTTTGTGTTTGTTGCGTCCTTATGCCAAGTGAAATATTGTTTTAAGTGTATTATTGGTAAATACAATTATATGACCTACGCTTTCATAAAATATTCTCAAACATGCTAGTTAACCTAGTGAATGTTGTGGACTTTGGTTTATTTAAGATTTGCTTTGTGCTGTAGGTTATGACCCCAAATCCTGAATGTGCTACATTGGAGACTACAATCCTTGATGCATTGCATATCATGCACGATGGGAAATTCTTACATCTTCCGGTTGTGGATAAGGGTCAGAATTACTATCTTCATTTGAAGCCTTGGAGTTGTAATGTCTAGCAAACTCAGTCAACGACATTTAATATGCAGATGGAGTGGTTGCTGCATGCTTGGATGTTCTGCAGATAACTCATGCTGCAATTTCTATGGTAATTTCATTTCTCTAATGCAACATTTGATCAAGGGGTAAACTTTTGAAAATGTATTCTTCTTTTTCTAGCAATTTCCCAGGCATATGAAGTTGACAGATCATATTTGTATATAGTGCTCATCCCCCCTGTCTTCATTTGAGCGACTGTGTGGACTTTTTTTTCCGGTAATGGCGACATTCATTAATTAAGTGGAAAGAAATTAAAAGTGGGGAGTTACAGGAAAGAAAGAAAACCAAACAGGTGTGGAAGATCTCCGGGACCAGAGGAGACAAACGAAACAAAAACCAAACAGTAGTGTGGACAATTTCTTACATGGCAGAGGTTGAAATCTAGTTGCAATCATTACTACATGGTTTGGATTTCGGAAGTATGAAATTTTCCAGGAAAGTACTGAACTTAATTATGATTCTTGCCCTTTTGGAGCAAGTCAGTAAACTGAGTAGAGGTAGGCTCTGTTACATGTATTGCCTAGGATGATTATGAATGCTTACAAACTCAATTCCTTGCTGATGCATTGCAAAATATGTTTGGAGCATTTTATGGGTGATCTTTCTCTTTGTCTGGGGTAGTTAACATTCTCTGCTAGGATGTTCGTGCTAGTTGAATATCTTTGTATAGTCCTTTGTTATATTATACTACTTATAAGCTTTCCTAAAAGAAGATAAATTTTCAAAAATCACATGGTGGCTTCTTTAAGGTACTCGTTACTAGATGAAAGTTTATAGGAGTGCTCACCTTGCTTTGTTAATCAGCCTTTCCGAATCTCTTGCTAGGTTGAAAGCAGCTCTGGAGCTGTAAACGACATGGCAAGTTCGATGATGCAAAAGTTTTGGGATTCCGCTCTCGCTTTAGATCCCCCTGATGACTATGACACACATAGGTCTCTCTCTCTCGCTCTAACTAACTTGCCACATTTGTTGATCTGTGCAAAACTTGGTAGTTACTTCTGCAACTAATTTTGTGTTAATGTTGACTTCAGTGAAATGTCTGCTATGCTGACATCTGATGCGACTGAACTTGCAAAGTCCTACACGAACCTCGGTCTTGAGAATTCCTTTGCCTTCAAATTTTTAGACCTTAAGGGTCGAGTCCATCGAGTTAATTATAGTAAGTTGTTGTTTGGGGTTTCTCCTACCCGTTCTGCTTTGCTTTACATGGACTGTGAAATAATTGAGGATATGTAATATCTCACTTCTTGACTTCCCTCAGGCACTGAAAACTTGGAAGAACTTGCATCTGCTGTCTTGCAAAGAATCGGTGCATCTGAAGAACAAGATCGTCCTCATCTTTTGGTGAGATATGTTTACTTGTTTAGCTAGTGACACCTCTGTGTTTTTGTTTCTTTTTTTATCGGCAAGTATACTTTTCTTTGTTTATGTTTGCTTGATACTTTATTCTTTCTCATTTCTGCAGTATGAAGATGATGAAGGTGATAAGGTTTTGCTTGCTACGGATTCAGATCTAATAAGTGCTGTTGGGCATGCTAGGTCTGCAGGTTTGAAGGTAGTGCTAGCGTATCCTAGTGATAGACTATATTCATCCAGTGCCACGAGTGTCAGGTCATAAACTTTGTAAATCTCAAAACTTTAGGAAACACTCGAACTCTTATTAGCTCTATCTCTCATATGAGAAACGTTAGGAAGGGCATCCTTCTATCACTAGGGTCTAGGAAACTTGATACAAGTGTTTCTCTTACTAGAAAAACAACAATAGGAATAAATCCTGGTCAGTGGTCACAAAGCGTACAGTAGTACCTATTGATAACATAAATGCACATAATCAACCCTAGTACCCAAATTCTTGCGTAACATGATTCCTGTCAAGATTTTATAACTGTTATAGCTGAAGCTCTAACATTAATATGTCATGATGATGTCCATTGATGTTCCATTCATTGTTCATTGGCAGTTAGTGAGAGGTTTCTGATCTTTGCATTCATGGTTCTAAACTTTTTGAATCATCATCCCTTTTGGTTGGTCCCAGGTCTTGAGACTGCATCTGGACTTTGCTGATTCGAGCCAGAACACTGAACCAGAGTCCGTTACAACGACAATGGAGACAAGAAGTCAACGGAGGTCGTACCAATTCAGCCTCTTAGCTGGGGCAGTTGCCTTGACAGGGATCGGTGTGGTGGTTTACCTCAAACGATCTCAGTTGTGAGAGACCAGTTCCAGACTTTCGAAGAAATGGGAAATTGTTAGGGAGAGAAGTGGATGGTGAGAGCCTCAGGACAACCTGCTGAGTGCTGAGAGGTTCGATTATATTTGTATGATTGTATATCCCATATATGATCGATGACTGAGGGACGAGGACCTCCGTTTTGGCCGACGGGTTGTCATATTACTGATGGTTCATCTCCCAGTTTCGTGGCGGTGAAAATACTGAAGATTAACGTTATAGGTTAGAGAAGGTGTTCTTATGGCTGCCATTATCCTCTCTTGTGGACTTTGGTCCCAGTTTTGCCGTTGTTTTTTGTTGCACTTGTATACTTTGTTTCTTTTTCCTTCCTCACATCTTATCTCATGAAGTATGTTTGAAGGGTTATATAATGTAACGTTTATTTACTGCAGCAGTTTAATACTTTTGGATTCACCTCACCAAAACACCTAGTAACCTCTTGCCATATCATATTCACAACTATACCCATTAGGAATCAAGGATGAAACGTGCTGGGTTCCCCACTTTTTTTATTGTTTAAGAATAGGTGACAAATATATTGGATTTATGAACTTATCTCATCCCTCATTTGTCAATTCGCCAGCCATCGAAATTGAGGGGCAATATTGGGTTCATTTTCCTTTGTTTCATTGTTTGAATGAAACCAACTCTTCTTCGTTACCGCAATCAACTCAAGCCTCCCTTTCTCCACGTGGCTCAAACAAGAGAATGATAATTGTGTTTTTTTTTTTTGGTAAGAATAATTGTGTTTATTGTCCTCAAACAACCACAAAACCCTTTTGTACGTCCCCTCTCCCACTCAGCCATCAATGTAGCAAGTACGGGGCGGATTTCTTGGTACCCAGATTCATTCCGTGACAGGTCGGATTCAGGTCGGGTAATTTATCACGGGTCGCAGGTCGGGACAGGTCGACTCAATGAGTATGCAATTTAAATAAAAAAAGCATTAGAAATATTCGTTATTTTTATTATAAGACCAAGAAAACAAACAATATTATGATAAATGTAGTTAAATTATTAGAGAAATTGAGGTTTTCACTAATTTACAACTTTATTATAGCTAAATTATAGTGTAATAAAAGAAAAATCCTAAGTAATTTGACTAAGATTATATGTAATTTTAGGCAAGAACAAGTAGAGAATGGGTCGGGTCAGGGCAGGTCGGGTCGATGAGAGTACCCATGCCCGCCTCGCCCCACCCCAAAACAGGCCAAACAGGTCGGGTAAAACGGGTCAGATCGAAATTGCCATCCCCGTCTTTTAAAGTGAGGAGGAGGGAAGTGAAGTAATGTGCTTATAGAGCTCAATTGTGTGGTATGAATATATTGTCAAGGTAAGTTGTTTACTTCTTTCTTCTATAATCTATTATTTATTTGTTTGCTACTTTTTATTTACACTCACCATCCATTGCAGTTAGTTTGATAAGTTGGTGGTGATTTGATTTTCTACACCTGACCATCAAGGTTGTCAACCTGCGGGTCGATCTGCAGGTCGACCCACTTTGATCCTATCTCGGTGAGAAAAATGGGCCGCACGCACCCGCCGGGTCGACTGCTACAAGGTATTGGGTTGAAGGTCAAATTGTGTCATTTTTTTTTTTGGTTTGTGAAATTCGCATATTTTTCGATTTTTCTTTTCGCCTAACTCAATCTTTGGAATCCTAAGTTGAACATTTGAATATTGATGTTATATAAGTGTGTGTGAATTTTCACTATATGTTGGATCTAAGTACGACATGTTGTTTTGGTGGAATATTATATGTTCTAACTCATATGTTAGATGAGATTTGATATAATTTATGAAGATAAGTACAATATAATGACTATTTCCATATTTCTGTGCTAAACCGGGTGACCGATTAACCCTTGACCCACTAGCTCGACCGGGTCTGGGTTAGCCCCCGGGCTGCAACGTAACCATCCATTGCACATTGGGTGGTTGAGAGATAAATAAATTTTTATATTATTACTTTATTCTTCACACGTCATCCACGCTAGAAGCAGGGGGTGCCTATAAATAGGAGGCTCATTTATTCTTTCTCGACAGATCATTTCGAATTGAACTTTAAATTTCTCTCTAAGCCGGCTCAATATGCTGCTCCAGGTTACTTTTCTCTCAATAATGACTTGAGATTTGGAGCAGGTCTCCGCCGACCACCGTTGGCGGGTTCTTTTTTGCAGGTATCCATCTCGAAGGCTGGTGACGGACGTTGGTCGAGAAATCAGCGCTCACCGGACCTCAAACACATTGAAGCACGCTCCTTCAAGCGCTTGGAAACAATAGAAACATTGTCGGTTAGACATTAATGGGTAGTAATTATGAGTGAAGAATCAAAATTTAGTAGCATTCTAAATAATAATGACATTAATGAATAACTAATTGATGTGTGTTAAACATCAATATAGATGTCATCTTGTAGAACATAATTAAAATATTTTTTTGTGTCAAAATCTTTAAAATAAAAATTCATATAAATGAAACATTGTCGGTTAGATATTAATGGGGTAGTAATTATGCATAGTACTCAGGGCCGAAGCATACTTGGTGCAGGGGCGACCAGGCGCAGACCTTTAAAGCTAGCAGATTGGATAGGAGTCTGTGTAACATCGAGTGGAATGAATTCTTCCCGAACACGACGGTGATGCACTTGGCGAGGCTGAGCTCTGATCACAATCCAATTCTGACGACGGTGCCGAGTCAGGGAGTTACCCACTCTTCCCCAAGACGCTTCAGATTTGAAGCTGCTTGGCTTACTCACCCTGATTTCCAAAAAATTTTAGATGAAAAATGGTGTGGGCAGAGTAATAACTTTCCTTTGGCTTTGCAGGATCTCTCGGATAGCTTGAATTTATGGAGTAAGCAGGTGTTTGGCAACGTTTTCCAACGCAAGAAACGCTTGGTTGCAAGAATTGAAGGAATTGAGCGGAATCTAGCCACCTCTTTCCATCCTGGGCTGGCCAAACTCCATAGCAAGCTAGAAGCGGAGCTCGACAGGACCCTTGAGCAAGAGGAGTTGTATTGGTACCAGAGGGCTCGAGAAAACTGGGTGAAGTTTGGAGAAAGAAACACAGCTTACTTCCACCAAATCGCCAACATTCGTCGCCGTTTGAACAAGATTGAGTGCCTGAAAAAGGATAATGGGGACTGGGTGCAGGATAGACAGGAGCTTGCTCAGCTTGTTTTTTATTTTTTCTCTAACCTGTACTTGCAGGAGGCGTCGCCTTACACTGACTTCATGCCCAAGGGAGCTTTTCCTCGGCTGAGTCAGGATGATTGGATGTGCTTACTGCGCCCCTTTTCGATTATGGACATTCACCAGGATATTTTTGACATGAAACCTTTGCAGGCTCCAGGCCCGGATGGCTTTCAAGCAGCTTTTTATCAACAGGAGTGGCGGGTTGTTGGGAAGGCTCTCACGGATATGGCGTTATCCTTCTTCGAGGGTGGTACCTTGCCTGATGCCATTTCGGAATCCACGGTGGTGCTCATTCCTAAAGTGGAGAAACCAGAGTTTGTCCACCAACTCCGGTCCATTTCTCTGAATAATGTGAGCTTGAAGGCCATTACTAAGGCGATGACGAGCAGACTGAAAATGGTCATGAAGAAGCTGGTGTCTCCTCGCCAAAGTAGTTTCATTCCGGGGCGGCAGACGGCGGATAATATTTTCGTCGTTCAAGAAGTGCTGCACACTCTAAAGAAGAAGAGAGGGAAAAAGGGGGGTACGGTGATCAAAATTGACTTGGAGAAGGCCTATGACAGGCTCCGGTGGGACTTCCTGAGAGATACTCTGATCGAAGTGGGCCTGCCTAGCTCATGGATTCGCTGCATCATGTTCTGCGTTGAGCAGAATCGTATGAGGATTCTCTGGGATGGTGAACTCACCCAACCCATCACTCCCACGAGGGGAGTCAGACAGGGAGATCCTCTTTCCCCTTATCTTTTTGTCCTTTGCATGGAATGTCTTTCTCACAGAATAGATGAGGCTGTCCGTGCTAAGCTTTGGAAGCCCCTTAGCATAGCGCAGGGCGGGCCGGCTCTCACTCACCTTTTCTTTGCCGATGATTTAATTCTGTTTGCAGATGCGGAAGGGGCGCAGGTCAAGATCATCCGCCAGTGTCTTGACGAGTTCTGTGAGAGCTCGGGGCAGAAAGTGAACTATTCCAAGTCCATGGTGTACATCTCGCCCAATATCTGCCCGCTGCGCGCACAGAGATTGAGTGACAGGGCTGCCATTCCCTTGACCAGGGTGTTGGGTCGGTACTTGGGGGTTCAAACCATCCATGGCCGAGTCACCCGGAGCAGATACCAGGAGCTGATCCTGAAGATTCAAAAGAAGCTAGCCCCCTGGAAGGCTAAGAGGCTTTCCTTGGCTGTGAGGCTGACAGTGGCTAGATCTGTATCCTTGGCTATCCCTACTTATACTATGCAAACTGAGATGATTCCTGTTAATGTTTGCAACAGTATTGACAGGATTAACAGGGATTTCATTTGGGGCAAGGAAGAGAACCAGGGGAAGATGCACCTAGTGGCCTGGGAGAAGTTAACTGAGCCGAGAACGCAAGGGGGAGGAGGCCTCCGGTCGCTCCGACAGGCCAACCTTGCTCTCTTAGCTAAAGGAGGATGGCGTATTTTGAAAGAGAAAGACACTCTCTGGACTCAAGTCATGAGGACTAAGTATGGGGGAAAGAGAAAAGATATGAACATCTTCCGGCATTGTCAGGGAAGTTCTTTTGCCTGGTCGAGTATTAACAAAGCAGCCAACCTCCTGAAAAAAGGGTGTGCTTGGAATATTCACAATGGGAAAAGCACTAATTTTTGGCTGGATAATTGGATTCTGCAGGAACCGCTCATTGAGGCTGCAAGTCAACCAGTTCCTGAGGAGGAGCGTGCTCGGACAGTGGCCTCATACATGGATGCTGACGGTCGGTGGGATATCGCTCATCTTTCCCAATGGCTCTCGGCGGATATTATTCAGAAGATTACTGCTGTGATGGTTGACCCTCTTTCTCCGGATGCGGACCAAATCTTCTGGAAGGCTTCGGCGGATGGCCGCTTCACAACTAAGTCTGCTTACCATCTGAGTCAGCCCGAGCGGATAGAGCCAAATGACCGGATCTTGAAGGCCATCTGGAAGCTCCCAACTCCAGAACGGGTGAGATGTTTTGCTTGGCTTGTTTGTCTGGGCCGGATTGCTACCAATGTGCTTCGGTTTTGCAGGAGATGCAGTGATTCGCCGGACTGCGACAGATGTGAGGACACTCCCGAAACGGTGCTTCACGGTGCTTCACGTGTTAGTGATCCAGTTGATAAACAATCGGCGGGACCCGGTTCATCCGTATGCCTCGCTGCTTGATGCTATCAGGAGGAAATTGGCGCAGAGTTGGCTGGTTAGGGTAGTTCACACGTACCGCGAAGGGAATAGAGCCGCGGACTGGCTCTCGAAGCACAGTCTCGTCTATCCCTACGGTACGCATGAGCTCTCTAATCCGCCGAGGGAGCTGAGTCAGATCCTTAGAGATGATGTTATGGGCGTCTCTTTTGAGCGCCATGTGAGAGCGCCTGTTGCTCTGTAATCTTTCCTTCTTGTCTTTCTTGGCCTTGGACTCCTTTATTGCAAAAAAAAAAAAAAAAAAAAAATTTAAAAAAGACACTAATTAAGCTCGCATTTCTAACAATTAGTGGAGGATATGATATCTGTTTCCTCGCAATGTAGGTAATCCAGTGATAAATATTATGTTATATTTAGTAGTTATATCATGATATTTCAATTAAACGGGTGGTCTATTTATTATATAACACTAGTTTTTCGACGGATTTGAATAAAACCACAGAAAATATGTTATTGTATTGAGATGAAAAACATGTCATTTCCTACCATCACTCCAAAATTCGAAACAACTGGATGAAATATGTTGGGTGGGAGAACCTTCATATATTAACGGTGGGACATCACAACTTGTTATTGATGGAAACTTGTAACTTATTAAATATTTCAATTTTCAATTGGATAATCAAGAGTACACATGGTTGATCTACGTAAGAATCCGACAACACTACTCTTTTGCAAAAAGAGGATTAAGAAATGATTTCATCCTTTCTCCTTCGTTTATTGTAAAAGCGTATATAGATTAGTCATTTGGTTGGTTGATTTCGACAATTGAATCTAACATAAAATTAATATACTGGTTGAAGGTATAGTATTTGATTGGCTTTTCTAGTGATTTATGACGATGATCAACTTGAAAATTGTATGTGAATGTCTATCCTTTATGAATTAATATAATATCTCGCCTGTAAATACTCTATGCACTACTGAGGCAGAATATGTAACAACTTCTTTTGTGCTACTCAATGTGTTTTGTTAAGAAGGATACTGAGTCAAATGGAGTGGGAGAATAGTGTGAAGGAAGGAACAAGAATCTGCTGTGACAATAGTTCCATAATCAAGCTCTCAAAGAATACAGTCTTTCATGGAAGGAGCAAACACACAGATATGAGATCCACTTTTTGAAGAATTTTGCAAGTGAGGGAATTTTGGAGTTGGAGTATGTGGGAACTGGAGTCTGGAGAGCAGGTAATTGATGTGATGACTAGGCCTGATATTCGATTTTCGGTTATCTGGTGTAACCGAAAACTCATTCGAATTGTCGGTTAATCACCAAAATCGAAAACTCGATTGAGACTGTCGGCGTCGGTTGGCCTTTGGAGGAGAATTTTATAACCGCCAACCTCCGGTTTCTAACGGAGAAACACTGGATGCACCGCCTATAACCACCAATCCCCAATCTCTACCCCTCCCCTCGCCAATCACCAATCTCCCCCTCTCCTCTCGGTTCTCACTGCTCTCTACCCTTTCCTAGTTCCCCCTTCTCCCGCACGCCTCCACAAGAACTCGTCGCCCACCAGCCATGCACCACCATCCTCAATCAACACTCGTCATCGACCTCTCCGCCTCAATTGCCCCCTCCTGATTTCACCCACCCCTTCCTTGTCGAAAGAGGTCGTTGGCTCGCCGCAGCGGAAGGAATCAGCAGAAATAGATCCACCCACCTGGTCGCCGTCTCCGCTTCCCCCTTGCATGTTCCTCGCTGGTCGCCCCCTTGCCTTCCTCATTCTCGGCGGTCGACGGCAAGATCCAGACCCACCCTACCTTCTCCAATCGTCGCCGCCTCGTCATTGCCCTTCCTCCCTCTCCAGTCTCCCCTCCTCTTGACGCTCTCTCCCCTTCCTCCCTCATCTACCTAGATTCGCGGCTCAGATCCTGATTTGACACCCACACATATGCTGGTTGTCGCCCGTATTCTGCCTCCAATGCCTCTCTCTTCTTCATTTGCCGCTGCTCGAGAAGTCAGCGCTCACCGGACCTCAAACACATTGAAGCACGCTCCTTCAAGCGCTTGGCAACAATAGAAACATTGTCGGTTAGACATTAATGGGTAGTAATTATGCATAGTAATTAATCCAGTGAGTGAAGAATCAAAATTTAGTAGCATTCTAAATAATAATGACATTAATGAATAACTAATTCATGTGTGTTAAACATCAATATAGATGTCATCTTGTAGAACATAATTAAAATATTTTTTGTGTCAAAATCTTTAAAATAAAAATTCATATAAATGAAACATTGTCGGTTAGATATTAATTGGGTAGTAATTATGCATAGTTTCACATTTAAAAGGCTATATCAAATTTAAAAAAGACACTAATTAAGCTCGCATTTCTAACAATTAGTGGAGGATATGATATCTGTTTCCTCGCAATGTAGGTAATCCAGTGATAAATATTATGTTATATTTAGTAGTTATATCATGATATTCAATTAAACGGGTGGTCTATTTATTATATAACACTAGTTTTTCGACGGATTTGAATAAAATCACAGAAAATATGTTATTGTATTGAGATGAAAAACATTTCATTTCCTACCATCACTCCAAAATTCTAAACAACTGGATAAAATATGTTGGGAGGGAGAACCTTCATATATTAACGGTGGGACATCACAACTTGTTATTGATGGAAACTTGTAACTTATTAAATATTTCAATTTTCAATTGGATAATTAAGAGTACACATGGTTGATCTACGTAAGAATCCGACAACACTACTCTTTTGCAAAAAGAGGATTAAGAGATGATTTCATCCTTTCTCCTTCGTTTATTGTCAAAGCGTATATAGATTAGTCATTTGGTTGGTTGATTTCGACAATTGAATCTAACATAAAATTAATATACTGGTTGAACGTATAGTATTTGATTGGCTTTTCTAGTGATTTATCACGATGATCAACTTGAAAATTGTATGTGAATGTCTACCCTTTATGAATTAATATAATATCTCGCCTATAAATACTCTATGCACTATTGAGGCAGAATATGTAACAACTTCTTTTGTGCTACTCAATGTGTTTTGTTAAGAAGGATACTGAGTCAAATGGAGTGGGAGAATAGTGTGAAGGAAGGAACAAGAATCTGTTGTGACAATAGTTCCATAATCAAGCTCTCAAAGAATACAGTCTTTCATGGAAGGAGCAAACACACAGATATGAGATCCACTTTTTGAAGAATCTTGTAAATGAGGGAATTTTGGAGTTGGAGTATGTGGGAACTGGAGAGCAGGTAATTGATGTGATGACTAGGCCTGATATTCGATTTTCGGTTATCTGGTGAAGCCGAAAACTCATTCGAATTGTCGGTTAATCACCAAAATCGAAAAATCGATTGAGACTGTCGGCGTCGGTTGGCCTTTGGAGGAGAATTTTATAACCGCTAACCGCCGGTTTCTAATGGAGAAACACTGAGTGCACCGCCTATAACCGCCAATCCCCAATCTCTACCCCTCCCCTCGCCAATCACCAATTTCCCCCTCTCCTCTCGGCTCGCACTGCTCTCTACCCTTTCCCAGTTCCCCCTTCTCCCGCACGCCTCCACAAGAACTCGTCGCCCACCAGCCACCACCATCCTCAATCAACACTCGTCGTCGACCTCTCCGCCTCAATTGCCCCCTCATGATTTCACCCACCCCTTCCTTGTCGAAAGAGGTCGTTGGCTCGCCGCAGCGGAAGGAATAAGCAGAAATAGATCCACCCACCTGGTCGCCGTCTCCGCTTTCCCCTTGCATGTTCATCGCTGGTCGCCCCCTGCCTTCCTCATCTTCGGCGGTCGACGGCGAGATCTAGACCCACCCTACCTTCTCCAATTGTCGTCGCCTCGTCACTGCCCTTCCTCCCTCTCCAGTCTCCCCTCCTCTCGACGCTCTCTCCCCTTCCTCCCTCATCTACCTAGATTCGCGGCTCAGATCCTGATTTGACACCCACACATATGCTGGTTGTCGCCCGTATTCTTCCTCCAATGCCTCTCTCTTCTTCATCTGCCACTGCTTCAAAATTGGGATTTTCTGGTGACATGCACAGCGATGGCAGTGTTCGGAGGTGGCGTGTTTCGTTCTCGGAAACCCGCAACCGAAAATCGAAATCGACGGTTGCGCTTGGCGGTTAACGGAAGACCCTTTTGGTCTCGGCTTCGGTTGGCAGTGGTGCAGGGTGATTCTTGGTCTCAGCTAACCAATGGTGCGGCTCGGTTAAACCCAAACTACACCGACTTACACCCCTAGTGATGACCAAGTCTCTAAAGTTAGAAGCATTTCAACTAATGCGAGAGAGGTAAGATGTGTGAGATGCTGACGAGTTTGCATAAGAATCAAACCCAGGTCACTGCGAGAAGAAACAATCTGGCGCTAGGAGGAAAAAGTTCAACCCTGCCCCTATAATTGCAGTTGCGTCGTTTGTTCATTTACAGTTTGGTTTGTGTCATTTAGAGTCCAGTCGAGCATTAGTGTTTGCATACATTTCTGTTGCTTAGTGTTGAAGTCAGTATGAGTCTGTTAGCTAAGTTGTAGGGTTGCGAAGTCAATCATGGTTAGTGAGAAGCTAAGATTGTAGGCTAATATCATTGTACTTATGATTTACAGCATTCATTCAGTCAAAATTATCAATTTGCGTTCGTTTGAGTTTCATAGAAGCTAATCTGAATGCCGAAAACCTTATAAACAAAATTGGTTAAAATATAGAGGTAAACTACTAGATATGAGGTGATAAGAAAATAGAAAATCAAAACAACTTCCACATTACACAAAGAGCACCCCCACCCCAAAATTAAAAAATATCGATGTAGGGAATAATGAAGACTGAAGATCAAGTAAGGAAATTGTATTCATTGACATGTATAATAGGCAATAGCACTATTATGCTTCTGATAATGACGTATGATGTATGAGCTCAGAAACAAAAAAAAATAAAAAATGAAAAACGAAAGCAGTAAAAAAAATCATGGTTAACGAATTGTGTATGTGTACACTGTAATTAGTGATCTTGAAGAACGATCAATACTCTTTACCATTATCTGCACATCCTCATGAGTTGGCGCACTGGGTGGGAGTAAACGACAATGTCTCCTTGCCCAGGTCATAGAGCACCAAGAAATTCTGCTGCTCAACATTCCCGAATATCGACATCCCGCTCGACCTCCCCATCGCCAGGCAAACCACCCCCGCGCTCGAGTCCGCGATCATGTAGTTCTCCGCCGGCAGCTCCAAATCCGCCCCTTGGAAATGAAACACCAGGCTCGGCACCTCGACGTCGCCCGACCCGCCCGACGGCAGATCGAAGCACAGGTCCAGACCGGTCGAACCGGAATCATCGACCGGCAAATCGATCGCGGCCACAAATGCCTTCTTCACCTCGTCGTACGCGACGCCTTCCAGGTACGTGATGGTGGTCCCGGAATCGACGATCATCCCGCCGCTGCCGTCGCCCTGCAGGGCGAAAGCGGACGCCGGGATGGGCAGGCTGCTCCCGCCGACCGAGATCCCTTCCAGGGCGACGTAGTAAAACGACGGCTGGGCCGTGTTTTGAATCAAACCGGTCGTGACCGAGGAGTTCCCGGCCGGCCCAGCCAGCGAGCCCATGGACAGCGTGCTGGAGCTGGAGGCGTCGTCGTTTATGGAGGTCAGGCAGTAAGAAAATTTGGGCTGGTCCAGCTGGGAGACGAGGGAGAGTGGGCCTCGGCCCAGCCCGACGAGCCCACCTCCCTGCGAGAACCCGTCCCCTTGGTTATCCTCCCCGCACCCGAACCCGAGTTGCGGAACCTTGACTTGGTTCCCGCCAAAAGTGAAGGTCTCGGTGGCCATGACACCCTCGGTGGAGGAATCGTCGCCGTAGGTGTAGAGGTAATTGCAGCCGTCGGATCCGCACAGCGACTGCGGCAGGGCGGAACAGAGGTCGCTGGAGCAGGGGAGCTTGGCGAAAGTGGAGGATTCGGAGGGGTCGAATATGGGGGTGGGCTGGCTGTAGCAGCTGATGCTGCAGGGCTCGCATTGCGTCCATATGAGGTCGCTTCCCGTGTCCACGATGGCCGAGTAGGACACGGGAGGCGTCCCGATTGCCAGCTCCATCAGGAACTCGCCGTTCCCGGCTTCCACGGGAGCGGCCACGTTTGCTGGTGGAGCAGCGGATTGGGTCGGGAGAACCATTGCGTTGAGCTTCTGGAGCCTGTAGTTGCCGCGCTTGATCCCGCGCTGGAGGCGCTCCATCTTGGTGAGGTTCTTGCCGGAGTCCACGTGTGTGAGGGCGACCTGGAAGCCGCCACCGGTGGTGGTGGTGGTGGTTGTCGGGTGGAGCTGGTGGGTGAGCCGCCGGGAAGTTGAGGCTGCCGGTGAAGATAGTAACAAAGCGGCTGCTAGCAGTGGCAGCAGGAAGATACTAGTGAGAGCAGCCATTGATGGGGTTTTTTTTTTATATGTGATTGAACTTGCTAGAGTGGGATCAGTGTTGTTGGCTAGAAATGGAGATGTATGTATTTGTGTAGATTGAAGCAATTGAGCAACCTATATAAATATTGGACTGGATCGAGGTAGGAAAACTAATGGAGGTATATTTTATATAGTTTACAAAATCGGGATGAAACAGGAGAAAGCGAAAAGCTAACTAACTAGCTAGCTAGGAGGGATGTGTGTGTGCTTATTTTGTTGTTGTAGTGCGTGAGAGGTGGATTTGGATGTATAGAGAAGAAGGGGATACGATGGTGGGAGGTTACAGTCGCGAGGAAAATGAAGGATAGGGGAAGATCTCATTATAGTACTCTTTTTCTTTTGTTTCTGTTATGAAAATGGCGTCTTATTCAACGAAAAAAAAAAAAAATGGCGTCTTGGTTTTTATATACTTCGCGAGTCATAGTCAAATCATGAAAGAGGCATTGTGTAAATGAATTTAATTAACGTCTACAATTTGTGCTAATAATGATAGAGAGTTGGTCAACGGGATAAGGTTTTAATTAAGGGTTCAATGATAGAACTCGGATTTACGGTGCCAAAAGTGGGAATAGCTAACTACAAAAGAAATGAGAATTAGGGTTTATAAGAGAATTTTGATTGATTGAGAAGATTTAGAGAAGGTCCCGGATTATACCGTCCTAATAGCCAGCCCTAGAAGAAAGTGCAGATAACTCGAGTTGTTGGGAGAAGTTCAATCGTCAAGCCATTCAGATAGGCTTGGAGTTTGGACAGACACAGGTCCGGACACCGTGTGCTTAACAGAAACAGATGTGGGCTACAGGGAATCGAACAGAAGACCTTACGGTCACAGAAGGCTCTGATACTATGTCAAGAACCAGTTGATCCCAATAACTCGAACTGTTGGGAGAGGTTCAATCGTGCATCATATACTGTTTACTAACAATCATTCTTTTTACAGAGAAGAGAAGGTTCAGGCAGAGAGGCGGAGAGATAGATTTAGAGAATTATTCTTCTGTATTTGGTTAATTGAATCCAAACAACCATTATAGAATATATAAGCTCGAAAAATTCATTTAAACTATACAGTTTGTTATAAATGAATTCCATAAGTTTTGAGAAATTTATTTTAGAATGAAATATTTTTGTATTTGGTATTTAAAAGAAGGGCAATGTCTATTTTTTACCCAAATCTTTTTCAGATTCTTTTATTTTAACCAAACCTATTGAATTCCTAAAAATTATCCAAACGTTAACTCTCCGTCAACTTTTCTGTCAGTAATGCTGACTAAGTATGACCATAATGAGTTGACTTCCTACGTGGCGGTCAGAATACCATCATTTACTATTTTTAATAAAAAGATTATAAAAAAACAAAACAAAATCCCACCTCTCACGTGGACGAAATAAGTAACGGTAACAGAATGAATGCCCAGACTTTGATAAATTATAATACGTTTGGATAATAAATAGAATTTCTATAGGTTTGGTTAAAATAAAAGAATCTGTAAAAGGTTTGGGTAAAAGATAGACATTGCCCTTAAAAGAATTAAGTTTCAATTCTAAATTTTGAATTCTATGAAATTGAAACTAGTTGTAGATATTCCGAAAAATTGATATAGAATATCCAAATGAATTCTACAAGTATTTACTAATTATAATAGATTGATATAATTATCCTCTTTTATTAACTAAATTACTTATACATATGACATACCAACCACAGGAATTCATTTGACAATAAATTCTACACGACACTTCATTTTATTTCTAAGGATTTGAATATGACATACCAAATATAAGATTTCATTTGACAAAAAATTCTACACGGTAATTCATTTTATAATAAAATTAATTTTCGATTCATTTGGTACTAAACGATAGTAAGTAACTCCTACTAAAAAAATACTAAACGAGACCCAAAGGCCAAAACCTCTTAAAGACAAATAATATGATAATTATAAAAATACCATAAAATATATGGGTTAATTGCATGGTTGGTCACTGAAATTACAAAAAGCGTTCATGTTTGGTCACTATAAATATTTAAATCCATTTTTGGTCACTAACTTTACAAAAACTGTTCATTTATGGTCACTCTCCGTTAGCTGCCGTCCAACGCCGTTAACGGCGTCCGTTAAGTGATGACGTAGCTGACGGATTTGCCTAATCAGCACTTTTTAACCCCAAATTGACTGACCCGACCCGCCACGTCATTTAAACCCGCCATGTCAGCTAAACCTAACCAAACCTCTACCCAAAACTGACCAGACCCGCTAACTAAAACCAAACCAGACCAGCACTTATTATGCACACTGCTCGGCGAAAACAAGCTCGTCGGAAACATCCCGGATCCGGTCGTCGGTACTTCGAAGCTCCGGGATTTGATTCCCGAATACAACAATCTCACTGGCGGCGTCCCTCCATCGCTGGGTAATATTTCCTCTCTGAAAGTAATCGCGGTAAACTTCAACAACCTCGGAGGAACGATCCCCGAAACACTGGGCGGCCTCAAGAACCTGTATTTCCTCTCAATGGTTGAAAATGGAAAAATCACCTAGTCCATTGCTTGCTGAAGAGCTACCTGCTGCATATTATCCCAAGTTCATCTTGCCAAAGGCTGAGAAATAAACAGTACTATCAATGGGTTAACGAATCATCCCAAGCAACTCCTCCTAATTAGTTAAACAAAAAAGAATCAAATTTGGGGTCTGACCTTAGCTTCGATCATTTACTGGAGAAGCACGTAGAATCCAATTATGGCCCGCTTCGAAGCCGTCATTCCCAATCTCGATCGATTCATCAGATAGCTCACGAAGTAATCCCCAACAGAGAATCCAACCACAGCCCACTTCGAAGCCGCCATCCTCAATCTAGATCGATCCATCAGATAGCTCTCTAAGCAATTCCCAGTAGAGAGCAGAGTCAATCCGAATCTCACGGCTTCGATTATTGTTGAGGCGAGGAAGATAGATCGACTCAGAATCAGTTCTTGACCGTCGCCGCCACCGTCCCCTACCTTTCGTTGTTATCCACCGGCGTTTCTTCGAGAAACCATAGAGCGGGTTTGGAGGAGTGCAAAGAAGGGCTGAAGGGGAAATCGAATCCCTAAAACGTCTCATTTTTCCACCGCGTCTCTGCGCGGCCTCTGCTTCTTCGGAGAGCAGGGGTTTTCGCAGAAGAGAATTTAGATTTTGTTGCCACATTCTCCTGCCGACCCGCCCGACTCCACCTTCTACGACGACCCGGAGCTGCGTACTCAATCGAGAAGAAGGTGACCGGGAAGGGAGGAAGGTTGCGCGGATGGAGGCAGTCTTTGATTAGGGTTTTAGTCAAACAATTTTGGGGGTCTGGTCTGGTTTGGTTTTAGTTAGCGGGTCTGGTCGGGTTTGGGTGGAGGTTTGGTTAGGTTTAGCTGACATGGCGGGTTTAAATGACGTGGCGGGTCGGGTCAGCCAATTTTGGGGTTAAAAAGTGCTGATTAGGCAAATCCGTCAGCCACGTCATCACTTAACGGACGCCGTTAACGGCGTTGGACGGAAGCTAACGGAGAGTGACCATAAATGAACGGTTTTTGTAAAGTTAGTGACCAAAAGTGGATTTAAATATTTATAGTGACCAAACATGAACGCTTTTTGTAATTTTAGTGACCAACCATGCAATTAACCCTAAAATATATTAATTAGTCCACCTACCCAAAATCGATAGAAACCAAGTTTCTATTATCCAACACATTTGATGCAACACTAAATACTCTAATCAGGATGGTCATCCTTGAATCATAGTAGTTTCTCGTCAATACTGTTTGTTAGGTGTTCATTTTGTGATCATTAAAACAATCCATCGTTACTCATTCTATTACAACAAGATTTTTTTTTTCATTACTACACCGTAACAACTAATAAAATATAGGCAAAATACACTTGCATAGCCAAAACTTTCACCTTTGTGCCACTTATAGCCACATTTGGCGAAATACCACTAATAGCCACTTTTGAAAGATGTTGCGTGCCAGATATAGCCATTTCCGTTAGAAACTATGACGGTGTTAATAACTCCGTCAACTTATTTGACGGTTGGCTGACGAGGCGCCAAATCATCAACCACGTCAGTAACAGCTAAGCAAAAATTGACACGTCATCTTAATAATTTATTTATTATTAAAAAAAATTAAAAACTTTCCCCATCTACCTTAAAAAACAAAAAGAAAATCAAAATTTTCTCGTCTCTCTTAATCTTCTCCCTCATCTTCTTTGATGGCGCCGCCAGCTTCGGCTGGTCCTCTCCCCTCACCTCTTCCTCATCCTCACCATCAGCTCCAAGCCCGACGGTGGCTACAGACAACAAACGAAGGAGATCGGAGGGATGCCAGAACCTCGTCGCCGGGACGAGATCGGAGGGATGCCTATCTCTTCTTGGATTACAAGATCCCCAATTGGATTTCTTCAAGGCCTCCCAATCGAGAAGAAATAACCCTAGAAAATTTGGGAACATGCAAGACGTGAAACTGGATGTTGAAGATGATGTAGCCGGGAATAGATTTGTCGTAGGAGAAGAGGATTTTCGAACGGGAGAGACGGCTGCTAGGGTTTTGTTAAATTTCAATGGTAGCGGTGTATCGAAAGCTCCTGGGCTCCGCCTCCACTCACAACGTCGAATCCCCATCGCATTCTTGTTCCTCATTAACACCGCTGCACCATCTCCCCGTCGATTACTTTCGTGGCCCCATCGCATTCGTCTTCCTACTCCGCCAGCAGTGATGCGGGCTTCTTCGTCCACTCCACCAGCGACAGGGGAGGATGAGTAGGTGGCGGCGGCGTTAGATTTGCAAAGATTGATGCTTTATTCACTTGCTATTTCTTCGTTGATGGGGATGATGAATTAGAGAGAACGAGAGCGGCAGTGATTTCGAAGATGGGAAGGTGAAGAGGTGGTGGAAGACGATTGAGATTATTGTTTTTTATATTCTTTTTTTATGAATTTATGAATTTTTTATAATTTTCATTTAATTTAATTAAAATCAAAGGATAAAACTTTAATGATTTTCCACCTATCATTATTTCTCAATAAAATATGCCACATCAACTATTGCTGTTAGTCCAGTCACTTTGTTAGATAACACCGTTAAAGTATTGGACGGAAGTGGCTATTAGTGGTATTTCGCCAAATGTGGCTATAAGTGGCACAAAGGTGAAAGTTTTGGCTACACAAGTGTATTTTGCCTAAAATATATCATTCATTTTGTGATACTACGGTGTCATAACAATCAAGATTCTATATCCTTACCTCTTAAAATGTATATATAAATTATAGACATTTGAATAACTATTGTAGCTTGGGTATGTTAAGTTAGTGTCCTTTTTGTAAGATAAGTTAGATAACTAATCAATTAAATTAACTTGATATACCTAAGTTGACATTATGAAAAGTAATTCTCATGTGGGGTGCAAACGGAATCGGCAATTGGAAATGCATGTACCGAAAGACGAAAGTGTGACAAATCTCATATCACCCACCCGTGTGGAAAGCAAAGGAAGAAAGGAGTGGAAGGCGATATAGCAACCCATTATAATAGACATAGCATTCTTCACTAAAGCTTAAACAAAACAAAGGGAGGGATTGGGTAGTGTTGACCGTTGACTCCTTGCGTGGTAGTTGGGCAAAAATGAAAGCCTAAAAATCAAACCCAACACCAAGGTATGTCTAATTTATAAGCCTTTCTCTTTTGGGGATCTATGAGTTACCAAGCGAGTGAAAATAATAGTTGGATAGCTATTATTCACCTGCATTTCTTGCAGTTTTATAATACTAGGAGAGTTCATTGGTACGATGTCAAAAAAAAAAAAACCTATTATCCAAACCTAATTTATTATAAATCTTACTCGTCCCGAATACCACAATAAAACTCCCACTTACAGCCTGTTTGGATAGACAAAAAACTCAGGAATTGGAATTCCATTTTCAATTCCAGTTCCATATTTTATGTTTGGAAGGATAAGAAGGTTGAGAAATGAATTCCATTTGGGCTAAGTTTTGGGAATTACAATTCCTATCAAAAGTGATAGGAATTGTGTTTATGAATATGGAATTAGTGGGTCCCATCACTATTTATTATTATTTTATTAACCAACTATCACCCTACTCTCTTTCTCTATCATTCATATTTCACTTTCCAAGATAAAATAAATATATTACATTATTAATTATTGTTAAAAGTGCAATTCATTTCTTTAGTTGAAGGAATTATAACAAACACTAAAATTGGAAATGGAATTCTATAAAATAGGAATTGGAAATAGAATTCCATTTCCATTTCTTCTTGAATTGTATCCAAACAGGCTGTTAAGGTCCAAGTATAAACTTTAACTGGGTGCAGTATATGGAAAGTATGATTAAATATCGACCCAGACTAGTTCATGTACCCCTACTTCAATTGTTTGGAACATAATCTAGCGGTTGATTTTTGGTGAAAACAAAGATCTATAACTAAAGCGTTTGCGAAGGTAAAAGGATTTGACACTAATTGAGAAGGCTCCATCCGAGTGTTGCTCCCCCTAGCTAACAATTACGACTTGTTGGATCGAATGGTCGTGTTTGGTGAGAGGGTTGTAAACCGTAGGGAAGTGCAACTAGTTGCCAAGCGCCACTCACTTGTTCTCTAGGTCGAGAGAAGGGAATTTGATCCAAGCCACCAACGTGGCTCTCTTGACCTATTGACAAAGGGTTGGTTAGAGTTCACCCTCGAATCGGAGTTCGGACGAACACCCACAACCAAATCCTAGGTGCTAATACGAAATAAGCAGTTTGCCCTGCATTAACCTAGACAGGAGACAACGAACTGCATAAGAAAACCTAGCATTCAAGCCTCTTTCAAAGAAAAGAAGGGGGTTTTCTCTCTACCTAGGTTAGAATGGCAATTAGATTGATAGGCTTTCACACAACACATTCAATCATGAATTATACCTCCGCATTCACATTAAACACAACCACACACAAATCATTCAATCCATACAAGCATTCACATAATTTTAGCTAGAGTTTACAAACACCCAAGTGAAAGAAGGGACTGCTCCATGCTAGGAGAAGGGAAAACATAAGAGAGGAGAAGGAAAACCATCAATGGAAAACCATCAATGAGATGCTAGCCTTGCTCCTTGTGTTGAAGAGATCCTCCTTTGGGGGAGGAATTCCCAAATCCTTGCTTGGAGATGAAACCCTAGCTTCTCCTCTTCTTTGGTTTGACACTTTCTCACTCTAGAAATATGAAGAAGAATAAATTTCTCACACTTGGTCTCTTCCCTTTTTTCCCTTCAGCTCAACCTTCTTTATATACCCAGATAGGGCTCAGATCACGGTCCCAGTTCACGGCCATAAACTGAATGCCCAGACCGTGATCTCAAGTCGAAATGCGCCGCATCACTAAGCCAGTTCACGGGCAATGGCCTGAACCGCGAACTGACTTGTGTCCAGTGAAAGCGATTTGTGCTCTGGATGCCTAGCTGTTCATGGGTAGCCCCTCTAGTTCACGGTCTTAGTGATCGTGAACACACAACCCAAACCGTGATCTGGTCCACCCTTTGACTTGATTTTTCACCATTTCATCCAACTTTCGACTCCAGGGTTTGTTCCACCTGCTAAAGTCTGAAAAACGCTAAAACAAGGCAAACCCCAACGTAAAACCAAACCTGTCGGAGTAAAAATGCTTCAAACGACTAAGCAAATCGGGAGTAAAAAGTGTACAAATGAGCCCGAATCACTACCCCACACTTAGACGTTTTCTTGTCCCCAAGTAAACCATTTTTCAAACTAGGTGATATCTCAACCTAACAAGATAACTTGGGGACAAATCAAAAGGCACAAAGCGATGAATTTCAATGACTATTAGTCATCAACTGCCTCAAACAATACCGACATCCACCACAAACGACATTCAATTGCATCAAGAATAGGCAAATGAAAAGTTCTTACCCTGTTCACAAATCAATGCAAGTCTCGACCGAACTACTCACCAACCACAACTAACCATGCATAGAACTCAAGTCCAAGGAACAGACAACGGGGCAATATAGATCCTCACCTGGGTAAGATATGAAAATGCAAAACAAGAAGGAATCACTCACTCTCGAACTACATTCAAGCACACTTCTTTGACCTATCTTGCTATTCACATTTCAAACCTAGTAGTGAAGGACAAAAAAGTGCAAAAATATAATAGAGGATACTTTAATTAACTTACAAAAGTAGAGAGACATAATATATGCTATTAAGACAAATAAATTTGTAACAAAATATACTATCGCAACCATAAAAGCAAAACAAAAATAAATACATACAGCTCTGCTTCTCGCCTTCTCCTCCGCCTTGCTCACTCTGCTCAATCTCGCGGCCAAGGAAATCCGTCGGCTTGCTCAAGACTTCCCAGCGGTGCCGCCGGCTTCTCGTCCACGTCGTTCCGAATCTCGTCTCCATACTTCGGGTGCGTGACTCCGCCGACTGCCACGAGTCCGCCTTGCTCGCTCTTGTCAGTTTCGCAGTCAAAGATGAACACTAACCAAATCATCCGGATGGAGTAAAAAGGAATCTTCGGTGATATTCGCCCATCTTTAATTTTGGGTTTTCTTGATTTTCTACAGTATATCAAGTTGCTTGAGTGTGCTTTCAATTGAGTCTTATTAAATCCCAATATTGCTAGTTTTACATGTTTCTATTTCGTTGATCTTCCGCCCTGTTTTAGTCCTTAGTTTTGTTCCTTACTCTTACTCTTCAGATTTCTTGTTGCTGATTTAGATATTTCTTTTCTGGAAGCATGTTGGGTTTCTGTTCTTGTTGGATTTTGCGGTGATGGTTGCAAGTTTGGTGACTTCGCTTTCCTCCTCTGTCTTGTTCCCCTTGCTCTGCCATTTAATTTCAAGTTCTTCACCACTGTCTCCTTTGGTCGGTGAAGGTTTGTCGGAGCTTCCAACGTACTGTGGGAGTGCATATTGGCAGAGTCGGTTGCCGCTTACCCTGCCCGCTGATCTGCCCTCTTCGGATCTTCACTTATCCCTATCCCGAATGAAAAGTTGCACGGTGGGGGTGACTGGTGAGGGCGCATGGCATCTCACATCCGCTAGTAGTATAGGAGTAGTCGGCTTCACTTAATTATCTGGTTTCGCTAGTTGGGCTTACCCTATTTATGTTCTCATGCTGCAACCGTCTGAGTTGGGCTCCTTTTGCTCGTGGTTTTATTTTAGGGACCTATTGGGCTTGTATCCTATTTGTTTCTTGTTTTGCAAGTTGTTTCATGGGCCTAGAGTTTCCTGCTTGTGGCTACGGAATCATTGCAGTAAGGGTGCGTTTGGATAAGTGTATTTTAAATGTAAGGTATTTGAAATACTAGCATTTGAAATGGATGTATTTGAAGTATTAGCATTTGAAATACATGTAATTCAAATTCATTGTTTGGATACTCATTTGTAATTTGTTTGTATTTTTGTATTTATGATTTTCAATTTCAATTTTTAATTTTCTGGTCACTTACTACAAATTTTGGTAAATTACAGTTTGGTACCCAAAATTATTTTTTCTTACAATTTAGTACCTAAACTTTTAAAATTTTACAAAAAGGTCCTTAAATTTTGATGGTAAAATTACAATTTGGTACCTTTATATGTTTTGCCTCACACTATAGTACCTAAACTTTTCATAGTTTACAAATAGGTCCATTCTTTTGTTAGGAGGTATTTCAAATCACTAGTTGTTGAAATGTATTTGAAGTTGACAAAAAATACACTAGACATGTATTTGGAAATCACCCCATGAATTTGACACAAATCCAAATACCAAATGTAATTAATATCCAAACACATGATTTGGTATTTGAAAATCCAAATCACAAATACCAAATCCAAATCCTTGTATCCAAACGCACCCTAATAGTATGGTGAGTTGTCGGGGACTCTGGGGTACACTGCAGACTAGAGGTGACTTTGCTTAAATGGCGACATCTTCCGGGGTGCGGATGTGGATGTGCTTTTCGTGGCAGTTTATATCTTTTTTATAGGTTTATAGTGTTTATTGTCACTTTATTCTTAGGAACAGATAGAGCTGTCCATTTCGTGGCATCAAAGGCTCTTCCATCGACAGCTCAGTTAGTATCGACTGTCGCGTTTTACTTTTAAACAACTGTAATCTCTTGTTTATTACTATCAGAAGAATACAATTTGATTGTTTCTCACAATCCACATAATCATTCAATGATTCCAAATTTCAAATTCCCAGCCACCATACAACTTTTGCACAAAAGATAATGTAAATATGGATCTATATTTTTCCAACTTGTGAGTTTATTTTTGAGTAACATGATAACATGAAATAAACAAACTTAATTACATGACTCGAATAGAAGAAATGGATAGCCACCCTTGAATCAACACATTTACGTACGTCGGTACGTACACAACGGTAACTAATCATGTAATGGTAACCCCATCATCCGCCCACAACCATCCCTTCCCTTCCCTTCCCTTCCCACCCTACTACTTATTTATGTAGAAAACAAACTTAAACCAATTGAATCTGCAGTCGTCTCCTCCTCAATCATACTCTACCAACGATCCCACTCCATGCCCACCTCAGCAGCAACCTAATCAAATCAACGACACTTGCTCGGCAGAAACGACACCGTCCCCTCCACAAGGTCATGAAGCACCACGAAATTCTGCTGCTGAACATTCCCCAGAATCGACAGCGCAGTATTTCCCAGTATCCCCAGGCACGCCCTCCCAGGAATCTCAACCATGTAATTCTCCTTCGGGAGCTCCACGTCCGCCCCTTCAAAATGCAGCACCAGGCTCGGCACCCTGATCGCCGAGTTCCCCTCCGTGACGAAGCACAGGCTCAGCCCCGTCGACCGCGACTCGTCAGCCGGCAGGCCGACCCGCGCCTTGAACGCCTCCTTCACCACGTTGAAAGCCGGCTGCCTCAGCCGCATGTACGTCGTCCCCGAATCGATTACCAGCCCGCCGCTGCCGTCCACCTGGATGGCGAACACCGACGGATCGATGGGCAGCCGGGTCCCACCGACCGAGATTCCTTGGAACGCAAGGTAGTAGAACGTCGGCTTCTGAAGGTTCCTGAGCAATCTCGTCGTTTTGGCCAGCGCGGCGCCGTTTCCCAGCCCTGCCAGAGATCCCAGCGTGAGCGTACCCCTGGCGTTGGGGATGTCGACCGAAGGCAAGCAGTACGCGAACCTGGGCTCCTTGAGTTGCGAGACGAGTGACAATGGGCCTCGGCCCAAGCCCACGAGCCCACCTCCCAGGTTCAAGTCCCCAGTATTGTCCCGCCCGCACCCGAACGCGATCCCTGGAAGTTTCCCACCACCGGCGCCACCAAACGACAGCGTTTCGGTCGCCAGGACGCCTTTGGTTACTGATTCGTCGAAGTAGGGGTACACGTAGTTGCATGCGCCGTCGTTTCCGCAGGGGTTGGCGAAAAAGGAGCAGAAGCGGTTGGAGCAAGGGAGCTTGGAGAAGGACGAGGATCGAGCCGGGTCGAAAATCGGTGTGTTCTGAGGGTAGCAGTTGACGCAGGGGGCGCACTGGGTCCATATGAGGTCGCTGCCGGTGTCCAGGATCGCCGAGAAAGTCACCGGAGGTGTGCCGATGGCTAGGTCGAAGAGGAACTCGTACTGGTCGAACACGACCGGGGTGCTGACGTCACCGGCGGCTTCAGGCAGGTTTCGGAGCCTGGCGTTGTCTCGGTCGAGTCCGCGGCGGAGGCGGTCGAGCCGGGTCAAGTTCTGGCCCGAGTCCGCTCGCTTGAGTGTGACCCGGAAGCCCTGGCTAGAAGTGGAGGTCCCTGTGGGAGCAAACATTACGAGTACTACTACTACGAACATAACTAGTAGCAGAAACGATGGCATGGCAGCAAGACCCATTTGTTATTTGCGATTGTGAAATAGAATGATGAATAAATAAACGCTGAAATTAACGGTGAAAAAAATGTACATGCAAAGGCAAGGAACTATATAGATTGGTGGGGATACATGAGAAGATTAGGGAACCAATGTTGTGAAAGTATATATAGTCGTGGGTTGGTTCAGGAATAAAATATATTGGATTTGGGGAATGAAATTTCGGCGTCGGATCTGTTTACCATTTTGATGTGTTGTTTGTTGGCAGCAATAGAAGATTTGCTTTGCTGTAAGTCTGTAACCATTTTCTTATTTAGATAAAAAATGATCTTCTTCGAAAATAGATTCCATGTAAAAGGAGTGATGTAGGTAGCTGTCAGTGTAAGTAAGGGAACTCTTGTGTCCTTATAAATCCATGCTCAAAGATTCTACGTATTATGTTTTGATGTTTAGATTCTCTTCTTGATTACATATATATCTTTGTGTCTTCGTACAAGGCAATGTCTATAATTGGTGAGGGCTTAGAAAAAAAAATTCTTATTAGATTCTTTATCATTTTTGGGTGTTTAAGATTCCATAATTGGAATAGGTTTACACATTTTTTTGTCAGACATATCCTCTGAAGAGGAAAGAATCATATACAATAGATTATGTTTGGAATATAGATAGATTAACACTTAACGGTAAATGTAGCATAGAAAAGTTGTTAACATAAAAGATGTGTTTGGTGGAAATTAGGATGATGTCCGATGTATGTGATGATGCCATAATAGGTACTTTAAAAAACAAAGTGATCTAGTTGTAAGATTTTTGGGTCGTTACCTATAATGTGTTTGCTATTCTGGAACGTAGTCTCGAAAGTGTAATCTTTGAACTAAAATTGTCATCATTCTTATTTTAGGATTTATTTGGAGCTGCATGATTTGTTGCATATTCTCAATGAAGATTGATACGCACACAAATAATCAAAATAATAAAAAAAAATTACCAATGACTTTTGGAACTTTCTACAACTACCTTTTCTTCTCTTCACCTTCAATCAATTTGTGTATAGCGCATAAGTTTTGGAACTAATTTGAACATGACATTCCCAATGTTTTGGGCTTTTGGATTTTTCTTTTCTCCGTTCTCAAAATATTTTGGGAATTCGCGTGTTTTTTCACGCAAAAAATTAATATATTTATATGGCCTGAACTTTGCACATAATAAATATCCTGACCAATCTTTTTATCTTATAATATCCTTGTCCAAACCATACATCAAATTAACGAAATTGGCCAAACTCGATGTTTGACTGGTATTTTGGACGGTCAAACGCGTTAACTAACGGCCAATGTGCCATGTCACTGCCAGATCAACAACTTTCACTTAAAATTTTAATATTTTTCACCTATTACCAAATTTTTTTCATTTTGAACCAGAAGAAGAAGAATTTTGAACCAAGAAAAAGAAAAATGGTAATAGGTGGAAAATATAAAAAAAATATTAGATAAAGTTGTTGACTTGGCAGTGATGTGACGTGTTGACCGTTAGTCAACACGTTTGACCATCTAAGATAACGGTCAAACATCAGATTTGGCCAATTTCGTTACTTTGATATATAATTTGGATCAGGATGTTATCGATCGAAAAAATTGGTCAGGATATTTATTATGTGCAAAGTGGAGTACATACAAATATATTAATCCATAAAAAAATCAATAGTAAATTAAAGGAAATTGATAGCATAGCTAGGGTTTCCTTTCTTATTCTCTTTCTCCATTTCTTTCGATAGCTAATGGAAAATAGTAGTAGGGTTATTGTATACTGACTAGTAAACAATATTGTCGGTGCATTTTTGTAATTGAAAAGCAATCAATACCACATTTTTATGGAATAAAAGGTAATTAAGATCATATTATTTGTTTTTCTCTCATTTCAGGTTCACCTCTCCAAGATTTGACTCTGATACTTAATTTAACAATAGAAAGTTTCAGGATTTTGTTGCTTTTAATTTTGAACAATAATATGCTTAGATGTAGCTTGTAAGTGAGTTCCAAGGTTGTTAACCCGAGTTGGTCAGTTGGCCCGGCCAGAGGACCGGGTGGCAAGCTGGTGGGTCAATCGAGAGTTGACCCATTTGACCCATTTTTTAAAAGAATGGTTGTTTTCAGTTACTTAAAAATTTGGGTACCAAATCAACAATTATAGAATGGTTTGTTTTGTTAAAAATTTGGACTAGGGGGTTAAAATTGTAATTTATGAATAAGAGATAATAATAATAATAAATTTCTTCACGGGCTCAGCACACCTCTCACTTAAGGTTGCAAATCTCAATCACTTTCTCTTTCTTTTTTTAGTGACTGTGAACCCTATTCCCTTCCCTCTCTTCATCTCCTTCCAATTGACGCTTTGAAGAAGCATGACAACAATGGCTAGAGGCGTCGAGGCGGAGGCCGATCGACCACCTGGTGGTGTGGTAATGATGGCGGGCGACGAGGGGGCACGACGCTACAAATAGGAAAGCTGACATCTTTTGGCGCAGTAACAAGGAGCGACCGACTCTCTAGTGGTCCAGCGAGGGTGGCGTGGGGTCGACAATGCCACAGAAATGTGGTGTGTGGCGAGGAGAGGGCTTGTGAGGGCCGCTGACATGGAAGGCGAAAGGATGAACCACAGAGGATCTGTGTTGGACTGGCGTTGCTAGGTGCGACTTCGCGAGGATGAAGTCTCCAACCCTGGACCCGTGCTGCCGGGTCAACCACGGTTCACACTTTCTAATGCAAAATGGCTATCTGAAGCAACTCCTCTGACATCAGAAGTAATTGAATTATTATCCATGTGGATATTTACAGAAGAAATTGGAAATAAGAGCTCGCCACGTCAACATCTCTGTTTGTCTAGTCAGACTAAACGCTAACACCGTTAAAAAATTGGACAAAAGTGACTTTAAGTGGTATTTCTTCAAATTTTGCTATTATTATCACAAAAGCGAAAGTTTTGGCTATACAAGTGTATTTTCCTTATTTTGGCTCCTTGTTGTCCGAGGATGCTTTCGTCTGGTGCCGATAGAGTCATGTTTGTGTTCTTACTATCTACTCCACCTTCCTTTTCTCTCGTTTGTCTGTCTTTCTGTTCGGTTTGCTTGCTGCTCCAAGTTGAGCGCAACTTCTTTTGTCTTGTTTGTTTATTTCTTTGCACATTTGCTTTTCCTGAACAATTAAATACTTTTATTAATTAATGTATTTCACCCTTATATATAAAAAAAAAACGAAGGCAATATTGCTAGGCGAATCTCTTATTCGTTTCATGACATAATTTACACTCATTTAGTTTATTCGGATGCCAGAAGTTAGTGTTAGAACCCTATTTTTCACTTAGTTAAAGTACAAGCAGTGTTTTGGACCTTTGGATTGATTTCTCTCTGTCCAAAAACTAGACGAAACGCAAGCAATTTTGTGACATCTGATCTGGTTCCTCAAATTAATCAGGTCATGCCAAGTGTCGTTTGCTTGTTGAATTTACAAAATGAGGGTTTTGAGTTTTAAATTTTTTTTGGATTTATGATGAATTTGTTGCATTATGTTTTTGAAAGAATTCATTGTTTGTTTACTTGATTTTTTATTATAGATTTATAGTTTTTTGCACAAATTTTGTTTTCCATTAAGAAATCTCAAATGATGGGCTTTGCAAATCACTGGGATCTGCCGAAGATCTAACAAAATCTATTTCATGGGCCCTCACAAATTTTTTCTGCAACAAACAATGAACTTGTTAAAAGTAATATGAGTTTGTCCACGATACTTGATGCTTGAAATTTGGATACCAAATCCATTACCCAACCCCACTAACAAACCACCCCAATCTCCAAACTTAGACTTAAGAAGAACCATAGGATTTCAAGTCGTATGAACACTGATATATTTTCAAATGGTACACTTGCTTTTGTTTTTTCTTTTCTGTTATACAGGGCCTTACCTTTCAAACTACCAAATTTCATGTCATTTGGCAGTTGGGCCTGGCTAAAAACTCTAGGAATCAATTATACGCCCGTGTGACCGACTCCTATGTACCAAACAAATTATAGAAACAAGTATCGTGAGAACCTAAGGCAATGCTAATGGAGCAAAAACCGCGGGACAAAAGTTTGTTAATCCGAACCATATAGGGACTCCTCATCTGGATTCCAACTCAGGAGAGGTTGAGAGCCAACTGCTGGAGCAGGATTTTTCGTTGCGATGTGTTGATGATCCCTTTGCACTCTGCGTCTGCCAATACTTCAGTCATTATCGCAACTGCGTGCCCTCTTGGCTCCTCTAGTGTTCTCCTCAACATGAACACCTGCAACCGCAAGAGAGAAAGACCGAAAAATGAACCCCACAAAAACCGAAACTCTACCTCCCCGGCACCAAAACTTCACCAAACGTCATCGCTTGATACGTTTGGTTCATCATTCTCGGATAATTAGAATTCCTTACCTGACCATCGTGTTTGATCTCTAGGCAACCCGGTTGGTGGATGAATGGCTCCCCATCTATCTGTACTGGGAATGAACTCGAAGCGTGTATTCTTATAATGTTCCCTTGTGCTAGCCTCCTTGCTTGTGATAGTCCAACCTAAACCCAAAATTATGAAAGTTGAGCTACAGTTGGTGCTTTTGGATATGCAAATCACTTTGATGATAAATGGTGTGAGGCAATGTATGATTTCCAAGCTGAAAGAGGAAGGAACATGTAAGAAAAGATAACATATTTCATCCCTTCAACGATGTAGTATTTACTACCAAGTATCTGAACCATGTTGCTAAACTTTTCCCCATGTTGTGCCTTGTGATTTTCTAGAATTCTTAATCAAGTCCTTCAGGATCACTTTTCATTAAACACGGTGTTAAAGTGGGTCTAACACTTTTCATTATGAACTTTCAAGAACAGTAGGAACAACTAAAGGAAAGCATTAATTTCAGAGATATAAATAGTAACTTGCGTCGACCGAATTGTGTCAACTCAATGAAAGAAAACATCTATGCTGAAACAAGCCGTGTAACGAACATTCAATACGATGGAATATAACTCAATACCTGGATTTTCCCTAGATGCCACGCTCCACGAACGCATACAATCTCAAGCATTTTATCTTGCATGGACTGCAGGGTAAAATCATCATCATGCTCATAATCATTTTGCCAAAGATCTACTCCACCCATGTAGCTGCCAATGTTCAGGACAATTAAACCCTCAGTATCCTGGATGGCAGGAAAACAAAAGGATTTTCGAAAATATAAAAAGGTATATTTCTCAAAATTAAAGCCACATCAACAGAGAACTTGAACAATAATGTAAGAAGTACACGGTGTTACACATACCTTTGGTATCTGAACGTCCTTTCCATCAACTTCAAGCCACACTTGCCATGGCAAATCTGCACAAGCTCTGTCCATTATGTCCCTTGCACCTTCTTTAGCATATCGTAATTTATTCACAAACTGACCATCACAATTCAATACTATAGTTACCAAGAGGAAAAATAAATTATGTCTTCAGAATAAGCACAATATCTCCCCAACTCTTCAGACATAACATAATTTTACCTGACTGCTAAATTTTTCAGGCTTTTCCTGCCGAGTCACATGAAATTCATACGCTAGTTTAGCATCACACCCAATCCCTACAGAAAACAAATCAGCCAATGAGTGACTTCCATGCAATAGTCGCAGATCACTAAGATAGTTGCAACCACCTCTAAGGCTAGATTTATACCTAAATAGTTAATCATGAACTTTGACTGTATGTTCTTTGTGTCAGCTTCTAGGTTCTCCTCTATAATATTTACTTTCCATCTATCTAGCATTGTAACTGCAGCATGGTCAACCTCATGCAAGATAGCACATAGGCCACCTTGTCGCTTTGCCATTTTGAAACCTCTCCCCCACTGCAATACCCTTGACAAATCATTCCCAGTGCCAAGAGGAAGCACAGCAACTGGGGGAGGGGATTCAAAATTATGTCTCTCGATTGCATCAAGGACCCATGCAACTGTGCCATCTCCACCACAAACCAGAATCCTGAAATACTGCACATCACTGAACAGCTGTAAACCAGCCTCAGGCCCTTGAGAAGAACTTAGTTCAAACACCTGCAATACAGTAATTCTGATAAGTATCCATATATTTACAGACATATGCGAATGAATTGCATAAATAAAGTAGATTGCATGGATAAGATTACTCCTTCACTGAAGCAATAATTCAACCAACTTTAGTAACTCTGGCAATGTCATTTTTTAATGATTCATTACTTTCGTATAGTATTTACTATAATGAGTCCTAAGGCAAACGTATTGCACCACATGAGAACAAGAGACAACTTGAGCAATGAACCAAAACAAACAAAGGGCTGAAAGAAGAAATGCATTTTGCTTAAATATATAAGTGAGTAGTTGTAATAAAGGGCTTATGTACAAACCTGAGCTGGATTTAACAGCAAGTTCAGCCTACTTCGAAGAGAAGACCCAAGTTGCCCTCCACTCTTGAAATTAATAAAGACAAGAAGGGGTCTTGCATCTTGAGATAGATTGACCAAAGCATATCTTTTAAGTTGACTGTTGAAAGTAGTTCCATCTTTCTTGTGTGTTAATCCATTAACTGGACCATTAGATCTGCCATCTCTTTTGGAGCGATTGTTGCCGGCTTTCTCACTTCCGGATTTCTTCAGATTAACAAGCCCATTTAGTAAATAATCCAGGGCCTTAGTTGTAGCTGATGATGCATCTTGCAACTTACCGTTGGCAGAGTGATTGTTTCCGTTTTTACCCCGGGTACGTCTCCTTTTCATCTGTCCCCGAAATGTGAAAGCTGGGATTTCCTCTGGGGTAGAACATGAAGACCCTTTATCATCTAGGTCCTTCACACAAAGTGGAGAGAGAATAATCCGACTTAGAGGACCCAGATCACAAATATTTCCAGATTCTTTTGACAACTTAGCATGGCACTTGACATGTATAAGCCGCTGACACCATAGGCAATGCCATGTGGGCGAGTCAGTAACGAAAGGAACACCACAAGGATCATCGCAGTAACAACAAAAGGCAGACATCTCCGAGATTTCCTCCATTTTAGACCACCTCTCTGACCACTGATGCTGGACTTGAATGAAGGCAGCTTGGGCAACACACTTGCAATCCTTTGCAGCAAACTCTGAACAGTAGAAATGAGCAGCAACACCACAAACAGAGCAACGATGGACAGAGGAGGTACTGTGGGACGCAGATTTTGACGCATTAGTTGGAGAAACTAAGGAAGTGAGGCAAACACAGCAAGTGGAAGGCAGTCGAATCTGTGCTAAATCCTCCATCCATGAATGGGATGATCTAGGAACATTCAGTTTCCTCCATGCTTCTTTCTTTGCTCTAGCAGCTGCTTTAACCCAATTCAGTGATGTCTTTCTTTGCCATATTAGTATTGCATATGCAAGAGCGAGAACACTCAATGCTGCAGTTAAGAACCACCGGAAAAGAAATGGGCCATATGACTCGGAACTGGTCATCAGCCTCCAAACAAGTGAGATTTCTCCGTCGAACATGGTGGCACCTCTAGTTGATCATAACCATTCTAAGGAAAAAAATAATTGAGAGCATTACTTACCCAAACTCGTAACGGAAATGAAAAAGGTAATAATTGCAATACAATCATGCATTCTTAAAGTATCCTGAAAAAATTTATAGCTAGATTATCAAATGAGGAACAACCTGAAACAGAAAACTAGGGTGGAAATGAATCACAATAGACACTTGAATGCATCATGCAAAGCTGAATTGGAATATCTTTTTATCCTTAGCTAGCTCCAGCAAAAGGAGCAAGGAATTAAAGCAAATGCCAACGAGAGTTAGCAGCAAACGAATTCCGGTTCACCCAAAAGATCCAAAATAAACATTTGAGGTTCCTATAATCAGCTGGCCTATGCGGAATTCTCAAAAAGCCAAAAGGAACAAAGCGCCATTGGATCTTCCGGAAGCTCGCAAGTTCTTTAAACCTTTCAAACAATGTTGGAACTTGGAAGGCAGAGAGAATCATAAGATCACGTAAATATGAAGAGAGAGAGAGAGAGAGAGATCAAAACCTGAATTGGAAGGAGAGCGAGGAGTACGGCGGAGAAGGAGGCACATTTTTCGATTTATTTCATCTTATGGTGTTGTTGTTATCGCTGCCAGCCACATTTGATTCTCTTTTCAGGTTTTCTGGTTTAATTTTTTGAGAGCTTCCATGAACGATGAACGTGCCTCTGTGAGGGAATGACCGAAATGGAGAGGAGGGGAGATCGAGGGATAGGGATGGAGCGGAAAGCAAAAGGAAAAGGAAAAGGAAAACAAAACAAAACAAATAGAAAAAAGAACGAAAGGCGGGATTTTCCTTCAGCGCCCACGACCGCTGCTTTAGCTTTGGGCTTTGCATTTTAAATTTTAATTTTCTTTCCTTAGGATCTCCTGCAATTTTAGATTATGTCACATTTCATCATTGAACCTAGAACTCCTTCCTATTAAAGTACCTTAACTAAACATTTCTCCACATTCTGAAAATACATTATCATTTACATAATTGATGCACATCATCAATCTCGTAGGCCATTTCAGGTTAAAATCCGACCGGACAATTTTCAATCCAATCCAGTCAAGGTTTAAATCATTTTCAATCCAAACCTATTTTTTGTTCTAGATTTAGCATAATTGTTATGAAAATCGAGTAAAACCGCAAGCCTATGTAATATGAAAAATCAGAGAGCTTAGCCATCTATAAGTACAAAAGGAAAGAAGAATACTAAGAAGGAAATACCACCATGATGATTTCTTCTTGATCCTTGGCTTTTTTCTTCGTTTCGAGGCTTGGGAGCTTCTATAGACCATATTTATGTATCTAAACCCTATTGGGATATATAAAATCAGAGATTCCTGTTTCTCTTTGAAAATCTCATTTTAAAGCACTCCTCCAAAATGGCGGTCCATTTTACTGGTCATACCGCCATTTTGGGTTTCTGGCCACCATTTTGGTCCACTGCTGGTTCAGACAGTTATAAATGTGAGTTCCATTTATGGATCATCAAAATTTGAAAAATGCACATATGAAAAAAATAGTGCCTAAGCCGCCAATTTTTCGTTTTGGTAGACAATTATGGCCGCAAATTTGGGCTGCACTTCCAAGCTCTACTCCCAACTTCCAACTTACTAGTCATGATGACTCTATCTCGTACAAGGTGATTCATTAATCATTAGGGTGATATGACCTAAAAATCCACGTAATATTACCAAAATGGGATCAAATTATAAAAACACACCTAGAGGTTACTAAACACACCCTTGAACAAATAACAAGAAATTTCAAATCGTAATGGCCAAACAAATAAAAAAAATTATGGATAATAAGCATTAAATGAGTGATTAAAATCGTATATGTTACATGCCATCAAATTCCACACACTTGAACATTGCTTGTCTCCAAGAAAACCATACTCAAAATTGCACAAGTCACTAGTCCTCTATGATGACACATAACTTTTGATCATAGGTAGTGTGTCATAAGTAACTTACAAGGTTAGCCTTTATACTTTGACAACTATACCACATCGTTGAAGTACATATGTCGTAAGGACAATCTAACCTAGTTTTATCAATCATAATCAGTTGACTAAGCATGAGAGTTTAAAAATGAACGGGGTGAAGCTTTTTTGTTCTGATTTTAAGCACATGAACATCTCTACCTCACAAAGAGAGTCTTTCTCTATTTTTATTTTGCTAGTCGAGTATTCATATTTAGTATAAGTGGGTTTTATTTCTTACTATCAATGATCTAGCAAGAGCAATTTTTTGCATTCTTAGCACTTTAATAAGAACTTTGTCTAACTCTTTTTTCTCTATCCGTTTGGTAAACCAAATTTAGGCACAATCTCGAACTGGTACCTCACTCGACACAATATTGTACTAAGTAAGAAACATCGTATGGTTGCGATCAAATTCTCAATTGAACCTTTCATATCCCATTGTGCAGTGAGTGATTGCTTCGATCCCCACCTAAGTGATCTTCGTACCCCCAATGAGTTAGGATTTCATCAATCCCGTTCCTATCCTACTATTAGGAGGATTCAATCCTAGGAAATCATCTCATCTCTAGCGACCTCCCAACTACTTAGTTGTTTGTTTTTATTAGTTAGGTTAGTTCTTAAACCAATATTTGGTTTCGATTTAATCGAATTGAATTCTTGGTTAACTGGGAACCATTAAGTGCCAAAGCAGTCAACGAAACCACCTCAATTAGGCTTACTAATGAGCCTTAACAAGTGACCAACATTGTCGGTTCAGCTAGCCGATTAACGGAAAGAAAACAAAAAAAAACTAAAAAAAAATGAAATTAAAAATGAAAAAGGAAATCAAATGTCTTGAACTCTTACCCCAAAACCCTATCAGCTTCTTGAAGATTTCACCATCTACACCTTGCGCATCGGATCGACAAAGAGATCACAATCTCAATGAAGCACATCCATTGTTTGCATGCACATATGAGAATGGAGGCAAAAGGGACGTGCTTGAGGGTTTTGGGCAGTTAGCTACCGCGAGAGATGTAATCTCAAATTTGTTGGCAAGGTTGGAGTTTTCCCAACATCAGCTACCAGTCGTAAAGGAAGGATGGGGAGGCAGCAGTGATCGGCCATGGTCCTCGGGGATAATGAGGAGTGAGGATGATGAGCGGCGACGTGAGGAGTTAGAGTGGTAACTTCATAAGAGTTAGCACCATGCTAACAATTCTTATCACCGTCCATTATATTTAAGTAAGATCTGATGCTAGAGAGTAACAAGGACATGTTTGGTATTTTGAAAAATTTAATTTAATTAAAAATTATACATTTATAAATAGTGATTTAACAATTTCTCACTTAGAAGAATTCGAATGTGGAAAAAATTAATACTGAAAAATCACTACTACTTAGATTAATAGTGATTTAACAACTCTAGTAGTGTTTTTGTGATGTCAGTAGTGATTTTATTGTAAAGGATAAATTAGTAGTGATTTAACAATTCTGTTGTAATGAATTTGGTTGTAATTTTAAAACTGATTTAACTTGTCTATAGATACGAATCACTACTACATAATTACTACGACGAATAATGAACAGATCTGTCATTTCTCTTCCAAATAGACTTCTACATAATCACTATTACATAACTAATATGTAAATAATAAGATCTTCAAGCACTTTCTTGTTCTTCAAGCTTCCTTTATATCATTTCCTCCCCTTATATCATGTTCTCTCAATAGAAACTGTTGGGACTCTATTTCTCAGCCAAAATTGGATCCTCTTAAAATTAAGCTTTCTACTACTCAAACCCATGATTAATAGAATTCACGAGCAAAATTTAGGATAGTAGTTTTTGAATTTCCAGTGAATTTCAATACAACATAGCCCAGTTTAAAGTGGAAAATACACGGCCTAACAAAGCCAAATACATTGCACAACAACAGTGAATTTGGTTTGTGCTTGTTGTACGAGCTCCAATTATGCCTTCAATGTTTCAAATCATGCCTCAATCAATCCATAATACATGTAGGTCCTAACATATCACCATATCACACTACTTTACGTAAAATATGGGAAAATAAAAGGTTTATTCATGAAAGTCTCAAACAAACACCTAAATAGAAATGAGATAAACAAATCAATTCTTCCAAATAATATATGCTAACAGAATGGAGAGATCTATAAAACACGGGAATCAGGTAGTTGGAAAAGGCTAGCATATGTATGTTTCTCTATATAGTACAACCTTGTTCGTTCAATAGTTAACACTCTCTTTTTTATTTATAAGGATATAAAAATGTATTAGATACTTTGGGGTTCCTTTGATCACTAGGAATCTCTCCTCCAATGACTGCAAGGTGCTTGTCTGACAATATAACTATTAGAATAAGATCATGGCAAGGTGCTTGTCGACAATAATATAACTTAGGGTTAATTGCACGGTTGGTCACTGAAATTACAAAAAACGTTCAAGTTTGGTCACTCAAAATATTTAAATCCATTGGTGGTCCTTCAGTTTACTCAAACCGTTCACGTTTGGTCACTCTCCGTCCAACTCCGTTAACTTTGGCTGATGTGGCAGTCAACTCTCAAAGTTGACCGTTAACTTACTGACGTGGCAACTAAAAATTATTAAAAATTAAAAAAATTAAATTTTTATATTTTCCACCTCATTATTACATTCATTGAAAAATAAAAAACCAAATACCCTACCCGACCCAATCCCCCTCTCCAAATCGTACCTACAGGAATTAGCCGCCGACGGTTCTTCTCTCCGTTCTTGATTCTGCAGCTGCTGGTTGTCATTTTTGGATTGGCGCCAAGCTCGAATTTTTTATAGAGTTTCGTGCTTCTCGGCGCGTTCGCGCTCAATGACGTCGATTTGATCGAAGACGAAGCTAATGCGTGCGGAAAGGGAAGAGGGTTTTGGAGGGTCGGAAGGTGAGGCGGCGGCGGAAGAGGTGGAATAGGGTCGGCGGAAACTTCATTCCACCTCACCTTCCGACCCTCTCCTCTCCTTGGAATAAAGTGAGTCACTTGATTTTGATGCTCAATCCTCTCTGTGTTTTGTCTTCTTCTTCTGGGTTGTGTTGTTTTTCCATGGCGGAATCGATTGAATGACTTTCACCGGAAGGGCAGTTATGGGAATTTTGGATTTTTGAGGATGACTATATAGCTTCTCGCTGTTATTATTGTCTCATTTCCTTGGAGAGTCGGAGGAGTTGCTGGGATGCTTTATACTTCAACTCTTGGAGTTTTAGGGAAAGGGGATCGAGACGATGGTGGATTAAGGAAAATGAATATCTGAAGTTTGGATTTTCGAGAAGGGAATTGGGGGGTTTGAAAGAAGCTCTCGATCGTGGCTTCCAGCCGCATGTGAAAACTTTCTTAGGAAGGTTTGTAAGAAAAAGTAAAGGAGGAAGAAGAAATGGGGAATCCTCAGCTGTTCTCATCGCTGGGTTTCTGTATTTAAAGGAGTTCAGGATTTACTGTTTACACAACGGTAAAGCTGACGTGGCGAGCCGCCATTTGTCTAACATAAAACTACCTCCACTAGATTAAACGACAACGTACTAAAAATGAAAGATAGAAACATAAACGAAACGTTTTTCCTTCTTCTTCTTCGAAACTTCCTCAGCTCCAGAGTTCTTCAAGTTCATCGAGCTTCTCCTTTCCTTTAGTGTTCTGGGCAGCTTGTTCTTGAGCATTCAGATCAAGCAATCCCTTGCATCTTGTCACGCCCCCACAAGTTGGCGCGTATACATTTAATACGTCCAACTTGTCAAGCAAATAACTCAA